TCACCGTGTTACATGTGTTTAAACATTGTATATTGACACAAAAATAGTTATAGCAAAAGATAGAAGACACGACTCAAAAACAGCTCCGTCTTCTCAAAAGCTCGGGGAGTACCCGTCTACAGATTCCCTGAAAATACAAGTAATTTGAAAAAGTGAGTATCAACATAAAGTTGAGTGAGTGCATAAGTATTTATGTTTGAAAGCTTGTTTTCTGTTCTTTAAATATGTAAATTGATCCAGAAAATCCTATATTTTCTGATGTAAATGAAATGTAGTTTTAAACCATAAAACCGTTCTGTGTAAGCATTGTTGTACTTGTATAAAATAGTATAACATAGTTTTAAATCCTATTAAAACTATAAGATGAATGTTTTATGTATTGTACGCTCTCTGTTTGTAAACTAGTGTTCTATGTTTGTATTCTTTGTAAAACTGGTACTTTGAAATTTGTACTCATGTTTAGTTAATTATACACTAAACGTATTGTTAATATCTTTTTAATGAGTTATTATAACCATAGTATGACTATATGGCCTGAAACAACGCTTTGAAGGCGTTAGAACTGTTGATAACTATTGTCACTCGTAGGCGTGTATGTCCGGCTGTAGCTATCAGTGTGAGTGTGGGATTGTCAATCCCATATAGATCTATACACACTTGTTTTGATCCCCGACTGGAGATTCTTATTATAATATCAGGACTTTAACTATGTTGTTTAAATAAAAAACAACCTGGTTATTGTCTCATAAAAAGCATATAGACGTTACGTGTATAATAGTAATCAAAACCCAATCATCTTGAAATAAATGATTGATAGTATGCTCCTTCTTTAGTATACTTGAAATGTATTTGTAAGTTATATACCCTTGTTTAGTTTTGAATCAAATCCTTGTTTTTGTAAAATAGTGTACTCTTGTATACTTGACACGTGAATTAGTGTTCTTGAATCATAAATTATACCTATTATAATTTATATGTACTTTCTGTATTGATACAAACTGTTCATGAATGCAACCCTTTGCTCGACATGTTACAAAAGGGTATTGAAACTGAATGAAATAAATTTTATATTTATATACATATATAAGTATATATAACTAAAATTTAAACGACAGTCGGTCAAATAACTGATACCTTAATTCCACATCCAAACAAGGAAAAGGAAATAAAGAGAGTTATCAGTCTTAAGCCTTTTAAATCTTATTTATATAAATATATATATATATATATATATATATATATATATATATATATATATATATATATGATTTTTGAGAAAAATATAGGTTTATAAAATATTTTAAAGAGTTTAACAGTTTTGAAATACTTTTGATGACCTGATGTCATTTTAACAATAAATTTGAAACCATTTGTTTGTAACACAAAATCCTTGTGTTAGACTTGTAATTCCCCCCCCCCCCCCTAAAAACTGTAAAAATTGTGAAAATACGGGGGTATGAACTCACCTTTTTAGAGGGTGATTCGATTGATGATTCGATATAGGACGTTTATTTCCACAATTGAAATCCTGTAGTAAAACAAGTCAAATATGAGTGTTAGAAGCTAAGATGGAGGCTGCAAGGAGTTCATGGCCAGGAGGGGTGTTCACGGCCCAAGAACACTCGATGTTCTTGAGTTCACGGCCCAATGATCTTGAAGATCTTGCAGATTTGAAGGTGAAACAAGTGTATTCGGTCTAGAATTCCCTAGTATGTTGATGAAATGATGAACATTTGAAGATCCAAGCAACAATCTAAGAAGATTTGAAGGTTTGTAGGATGATACTTGATAGAGAAATCCTTGGATTCACGACCAAAAATGAAAGAATGAGAAATAATCAGCCAATTTTATATATATAGGGAGGAGTTCACGGCTTCGGTTTACGGCCGAAGTGTTCACGGCCGAAGTGTTCACGGCCTCGGTTCACGGTCCCTACGAGGTTTCCGGTCCGAAGAGAAGAAAGAAGGAAAGATGATGCGAAGTTTCTTGGTTTTTCAAGTGTTTTCCTTCTAAATTCCACCACAAATATTCTAAGGTTTTCAACATGTAAAAAAGTATTATTCTAACCTTAATAGAAATCAAAACAATAAAGGGCACTTTAGTTGACCCAAGTTTGACTTTGGTTGACTAGGGTTGACTTTACAAGTAGAAAATAACGGGTTGTTACAGACTGTACACACACATCGAAGATAATAATTTCTACTATTTTGTAACTTGAATATGATAACATTATGGTTTCAAACAAATGAATGCCACTTATTTTTTTAAAATAAATATTTAATTGGTTGATTCTCTTTAAAAATGAAAAAAATCTCTTTGTAATTTTTGGGACGTTACAAGTTGGTATCAGAGCCTTAGTTTGAGGGACTTGGGTACGCCTTATGGTATGTCTAAACTCAAGCTGAGGACTGAGAGATTTTCTAAACTAAAGAATGTTTTATCCAAAAGAACTTAAAAGAATAGTTGGATCAGAAAAATGAGCTCGATCTTTTGTCATGTTCTTGTTTGATTGTTGTCTTTAGATTGTGAACATGGTTTCTTGATTTAACTTCAAATCATAAAAGAAGGATGTGATGCCTATAGTAAGCTGATGCTATAGAAGTAAGTAATTCCTAATATACATATCTTGTTATGTATCTGTGTTATGGATTGATATGCATGTGAGAATGTAGACTAAGGGTCTGTTCAGAAATTGCATGCTAGAATTGCCTGATTTATATAGATTACTAGTATGCCTTATATGTGCTAATTGCAGTATGTGTTTCAGAATCCTTGTATGATGTTATTGAATTATTAATCGAATTCCATACATTTCGTATATAATTAGAATCAAATCGCCTTAGAATGTTTGTTTTGGACTTATTACATGTTCCTTGTCTAGTTGTGGTTTTAGGGTAAAGACATTTATTTGAATGACTATTTCTTTCTAGATTATGTCCGAGTGCACATTAGTAAGGCATTTCCTGTGATGTAGTAGAGGCTTGTTCGGCTTGCGGGTTTGTGTAAGGGAAGAATCCTAGAGTTCGTGAGGATTTTTGGCGCTTGAGTAGACTATAAAGGTGGTGGCTAAGATCTGTGCCACGTTCAGAGAGAGAGAGAGAGAGAGAGAGAGAGAGAGAGAGCAGTGCTTTGCTCACAGTGTGTGACTTTAGAAGAGATGAGGATGACTTGCTACCATGAGATGTTGAGGGTGGAGATCCTGGATTTCATGAGCATTTTTTAACATAAGACTCTTTTGGGTTTAGTGGAGCCAACCAGTGGCAGAGAACTGAAATTGGAGACCCAACAATGGAAGCGGAAGCAAGATCAGACTTATGCATCAACACCAACAATAGAGAAAACGAAGGTGACTGACAATCAGTCTAGAGATCAAGGTTTCAAGGATTATATTTGATTTTGTTACAAGTATATGCTTGTGTATTATGTTATGACAATGTACTTTCACTTTTCGCTTTATCCAATTATAACATTGTAGTTTCAAAGTAGAAATTCTTTTAGTATATTACACATATTTTTATCTCAATTATAAAAATGTGTAATTGTTTTCTTCAAAAAGGTTTAAGATAAGTACAATTTTTCCAAAATGGTATTGTTTCAGCAAGGTAAAGGCAACCCTAACCCGAATCTGAACCCGAACCTGAACAATTAAACCCTAAAAGACGAGGAAAATGAAAGGGACAAGCATCGGTTAGAAAAGGAAATACGACCCCTTAACAATGGACACCAGAAGAAGAGAAAATATTAGCGAAATCATGGGCCAAGATTTCAGAGGATCCCATAACCGGAAATGTGCAATATAATGATCATTTATGGTGCGCATTACAAAGAGGATTCACATAGTAATGGATCATGACGATTACTCTACAAAATACCAATGTGCGAGCAAGTTTCACGAAATGAAAAAAAGGGTCACAAAATTCAATAGGGCGTTCAAGAACTTGCTAAGTAAACAAATAGGAGAGGAAATAATACAACTATTTTTGAGTCGGTGCTTGAAAATGTTAAAATCTACAACGATAGGAGGATATTCAAATATGTTGATATTTGGAACTTTTTATCTGCTTCCCTAAAATGGCAAAAAGTTGTGGCAATGAAGAAGGTGCTTCGAAATGAACCATAAATCCCGATATAAGTTACTCAACTTCATCAGATGCTTGTTTCGTGTTTGTTTTGAACAAAAAGGATAAGCTTTAACTCAAAGAGATAGTCTCCCCGATGGGCTGAGATAAGGCAAAAAGGAGATGGTCTTTGTCTAATGCATCGAGAGCCAAAATAGGAGATGATGTGTGTAAGGTGGCAAATAGTTTCGAAATATATAATTTTAATTTTGAAAATTGTTTGCAATTCGAAAAAGAGAAATTGAACGAGAAAAAAAACGCGAGAGAATAAACAAAATTTTTGAGAAGATAAACAAATAAAACTAGTGATATGTAATTATTAACTTTAAAGACATGATAGTTTTGAGGGCAAAAGAGGAAATAATGAAAAAAAAATTCAAATAGCCTTATTTTGTATTGTTTTTTTATTTAATTGTCATTTTTAAATATGTAATCGTTTTTAATTAAATTAATCAAATGTTTCTTTTTTAATATTTTAAATATGTATTTTAAGTATTTATATAATTATTAAATTATATTTTAACATATTTAAATTTGAAAAAAAAATAATAATAAAAAACAAATAGTGATGGACGACCATTTCCTATCCGGTAAAAGGGTTAGGAGGTAAGGAGGAAATAATATGACTTCATGCGATATGCAAAAAATGTGAAAAAATAAGTGAGTACATTCAGTCATTCACCAACCTAAAAGAAATCTTGTACGAAAACCTCTTATAATGAAAGACCTCTTACGACTACACTGCCCATACCGCTGCACGGCTGCACCCGCATGTAAAATCCCTATGGCCACCACTAATACATAATTAAATAATAGTTTATAATAATATATGGACAAAACATACAATATTTTTATTCCAAGGAAATTACATGAAGAGTGAAAACAACATAACTACATGATATATTTACATATCTTTATTTTTTAAGATACAAACTTCACTAGTAAATAAAGAAAGAGTACACATATTTTTACCTAGCCAACCATAGGGGTACTTACGACAATATCGTTTTCATTTATCCAAACAAGAACCCTATCACATATGTATATCTCGGGTATTATCGTTCCTTCGACAATAGTTTCTGCATTAACCAATGCATTTTCTTTTTCTATTGTGATTACCGCACATTCTCTATCCTCCCCGACCAACTCCGGCCATGATATTTTACCTACAGAATACATGAAGATAAAATTAAAATTTAAAAACTCTTTTAGAAGTATATTCATAAAGGACATTTATAGAAAATAAAAAGCTTTATATGTCAAAATAAGAATACCTTCCATGACTTGTTCACATATGGATGCCATGTCTTTGTTATTCAGATACAATGTATGTGCTTTGTGGTGTATTTGGTATTTCAGCTCAAGTGTTAATCGGCTATTTATAAGGCCAATGGTTTCCGCTTTTTATCTTTATTTTTTATATAGTATTTAGTATTCGTTTCTTCTTTTTGGTTGCGGCCTTCTATGGGTAAGAATGATGCGTCATAAGCCGAAGATTTGCCTAACTTTTTTGGATTGAAATACATGATGATTAGCTTCGATTAATTTACAACCAAATTTAACTAAAATAATTATTTGAACCAACACTTTAAAACAATTTTATCCAAGACAATTATATAATTATTACAATTATAATTACCAAGTTTTTTAATTTAAAATTAGATAAAATTGTACCAATGATCCCTATGCTTAGCTGAAAATTGTTTGGTCCAAAAAAATTTAGACTAGCACCAGATGTCCAAACTTTTCATTTTGTTGCGAGTTTGATTCAGTTTGGTTTTAACTTTTTTATAATGACGAATTTGCTCATGATATATATATATATATATATATATATATATATATATATATATATATATATATATATATATATATATATATATAAGAAAGGTGGTGCCTATACTTATTGGAATAATTGGGTTCCAATTAAGTTGAATATTTTTATTTGGAGATTAAGATTAAATGGTTTACCTACTCGAGCTAATCTTTCACATCAGGGTATTTTGATGGGTTCGATCTTGTGTTCGGTCTGTTCCATTACAGTTGAGTCCATTGATCATCTGTTTTCAGGATGTAGTGATTTGATTGAACTTTGGACTCGAGTTGCCATTTGGTGGGGTGTTCAGCTTCATCAACACCGTTCCATAGATTCTTTCTTGTTTTGGTCAAATTCTTTTTCTTGAAGTGGTCAACGGAAAGCTTTTGATGCGGTGATTATGACTGTTTTATGGTGTATATGGAATTTCCGAGATTTCATTATCTTTGGAACGGTGTTACCTAGGAAATCAGCTATCAGATTAAGAACTGAACACATATATTCAACACAAACACACATACACAGATTAAACACAAACACACATACACAAAACCCAAATATCGATTCAAAGAAATATCAGATTTCACACAAATTCCATATTTTCCACATTTAATCTTATGCTCATCTGACAACTAACACATAAAATTCAGAAAACAAGGGAAAGATATATATCAGAAATAAACAATAGTGAACAACAAATCTCGATTTTTCTTGAACGGATGAAGATTTGACCTACCACACAATTGATGGGGTTTGAGCTTTACAACAATCATATGGTGCACATGCAAACCCTAAAGCTTGGATCTAGTTTTTTTAATAGTACATGCAATAATTATCCAAGGCTTCTAAACCCTAATCTAGCATACAATAAAATCAAAATCTACATCTAATGAATAGTTAGGATATTACCTTTGATTGTAGCTTGAAGATCTTGAGCCTTTGAGAACTTAGCACCTCAAGTGTGATGTCTCTGATAGATCACAAACACCAAAGCAATTGGAGAATGCAAGAGAGAGAGAGAGGAGGAGTGTAAAATCGGCTCTGGATTCCTTCTAGGGTTTCTAGTAGTCGATTTAGGATGCCCAAGGGGTTCCATATATAGGTGAGGAATTAGGGTTTCAGTCAAAGACCTAATCTGGTTGCTTATGGCCTAAGCAGCCTACTAGATCTTTCCAGAACCTAGCCCTTGGACGAAATCCTTATGGGCTTCCATAAGATTTCGTCCACCTCTTACTTAAGAGATCCTCAACCCACTTTGCAATTATCACATAATTACAATATCAGTCTGTAACATACACGTTTTGAAATCGTGTTATGTAATTCAAAAAGTTAAAAATATTATGAAATATTATGTGATATTGAGTATTGAGTTCTAACAAATAGTTTTTACTAGAAATAAGGTAAAACTATGTTTACAATCACTCATAAATTATTGGAAGTCTTATGAGATTCCAATTAAAAGCTAAATAGTGTAATTTAGCGAAAATATAAAATTTCAAATAAGTAAAATTTTATTATTGAAGGTTGTAGATAATCTCGTTAGAAACACGTAGGCGAAAACCTCGTCGAAATCCGAGTTATAACGAAGAAGTTATGACCAATCGGAGATCCGCGATAAAACCGGCACGGTGCCGAATGACGTAAAAAGTGAGTTTTTGATAAACTACTTTTTAGCCTTAGTTATATAAATGAAAGTCGTAGTATTCATTAAACCGAGAAGTTCGATAAAAAGAACGCCAAAATCTGACTTCGTATGAGGAAGTTATGATTTTTACAAGTTTCAGCTTAGCAGTAGACAGCTAAAAACTCGAATTTTAGATCGAGTGATTTTTAGCCAACACAACCTAAATGAGAATCGAAGGTCTCGTCATTAGTAGTACAACGGTAAAAAGTCTGACGAAAACGGACGTCGGATGAAGAAGTTATGAATTTTTAACGGATTTACGAGTCCCGGTGTGTTAAAAATAATAATATAAAAATAAAGTCAAAATTTTCCGACAAAGTCTAAACGAAAGTTGTAGAGCATAATTTTCTCTACGCGTGCATATAAAGAACGTCAAAGACGGAGCCCGTATGAGAAGGTTATGGATTTTACAATATTAGGCACATTTTTCGAGAACTTTCGCATGAATAGTGATTGCCACGTCACCCTCGCTCGGAGCTGGCCACATGTCCGAAGCTGCTGCGTGGCATATCCGAGAAGCGACGCATGTCGCACAGGTTGCCGAAGAAGCCACATGATCTCGCATGTGCCCTACGTGATCCGACCCGCGTGTTGGCTCCTGATTCGACCGATGCAGCCGACCCGATCCGAAGCCAGAAGCCGCGTCATCCGACCAATGCGAAGCGAGCACCTGTCCGTCCGAGCCTCGCCCTGTTGCCACCTGGTCCGAACCTCGCATGCACGTGCCCTCCTCCCTTCGCTTCGGATCCGAGGCTCGCACCTATATAAGGGGTGCGAGACCTCCCGGTTAGATGTTTGAAAATTGCCCTTTTTCACCCTTTTTCAACATTTTCTTACATTCCGACTTCCCCCCGAAGCCCCGATACTTATTCCAAAGCCCGAAACACGCCCCAAGATTCCCGAGAAGCCCGAAAAATTTATCTTTTCGGTTTCAAATCCCAACCCTCGCAGGGCCCGGTTTTTAAGAAAACTCCCGGTTTTCAACGAAGAAAGTCATATTTAGAGCCGAAGTGCTGCCCAAATTATTATTTTGACCCCCGGTTAATTTAAGGTGAGTTTAGTATATAGGAACAATTGTATGTTATGTGTTATATGTGCTATGTGCTTTTCAGAATTATTATTCCGGGTTATTTTCCTGTGTTATTTTGGTTTTATACCTTTGGCTATGTAAAGCATGAATTGTATACTAACGGAATACTAACAGAGCTATACCTTTGACTTGAAGTGTATGACATAGGCATCACTTAGGTATTGGTATTAACCGTTGACCATGAAGTGTATGACATAGACATCACTTTGGCTTCGGTAGTATGCTAAGATAAGGCTGAAAGTCTGGATATTCTAGAAAAAATAATATTCTTGAGTATTTTTCCGTGTCATTATTATTCGTTATTTTTAATAGCAAAAGAAATACCTTTGACCATGTGATCAGTGAAAGGACTTAGATTCATGTTGGTACTAGTATGTAGCCTCTGGCCATGTAGAACATGTCTCCGTAAGAGAATGATTTCTATTCTATGGCATTGGCAGAAGGTTAGACAGGGCCATGAGCCTGAAATCTACTAAAAGGTTAATCCGAAGTTGTATGTCTTCTGTGCCATTTGGACCAAAGCTTTATTGATTGTATATCAAGTATGGAAAGCTTATCACATTATGTCTTGTTGTTCCTTGCTCCTATTTGCTTCTGCCATATTGGTATATATATATGGCATAACGTTATATTGTATCTATTATTGAACTCACTAAGCGTTATCGCTTACCCCTCCAAATGTTTTAACATAATGCAGGCAATAAGCACCCAGTATAGTTGGAAGACTTAGAATAGTTTGTATTAGTACTTTTGTACTTCAGTTTATGTTTGTATAAAATTACAATATCCTGGGTAGTTATGTAAAATCTTAAAACATAGTCGGTTTGTATCCAATCTTTTGTAATGACTTTATCAATGTAAAAATATTATTTTATAAATATGCATGTAGCATGTTTTGGAGTAACTATATTGTCAAGTATGAAAGTTTGGGTCTTTCAGAAATATGAAAGTATAGAAAGGGGTCCTTTCAATCATGGTATCAGAGCAGTGGTTTAAGTGAACTAAATTCCATGGATTGGTATTTAGACTTAAACTATTGGAAGTTCAATATATGAACTGAATCATTGTAAATATATGGATACAAACCATAGGAAACACTTAAGTGGGGTATTGGGTAGTGATAAACCCTAGTATTCTAAGACATTAAGTTACTTCAAGAATTTTAGAGAATTAGTTTATGTAAACTGGAATTTTGAGAATTTCTAGATTTAGACATGAATTGTTAAGTGATGATACAATATGTATCTAGTATACTTTAGGTTGAATACCTAATGGGGTAAGCACTAGAATATTAAGAGGAGATATGCCTTATATTCTAAGATGTGCTAAAGGATAAGTAAATATAGCATGCTTTAGGTTTCATACCTATATTGCTATTATTTGAGAAAGTTTAAGGTCTGTTGCCGACCTTGGTTTAGAAAAAAAAATTATGTTCAGAATTCTAAGAATTTCCGTAATAGAATTTACATGAAACTTTTCGAAGTAATAAAGATACTTATGATAGTTGATATTGATAAGTTTATTGATAAACGATCGAAGGATATCGTGAAATAATAAATATGAAGTGTAATCGTAAATAGTGTATTAATACCAACAGAGTGGTATTATGCATTTAAAATATATAAGATAATATAATAACATCTTTGGAAGAAAGATGTGCGTTTGAAATACATTTGGATGAGATAAATGTTTTGGCATAACCGATGAAGTTGTTCCACCGCTGTCCAGATTAAAGCAGTGATAGTTTATAGAGTCGGAAGAACCGAGGATGGTGA